AAGTTATAACGAGTCGTTAAGTTCCGTTAAGCAGCGTTCAGAACGCAAAAGCGTTCCTACTTACAAATTGTAGTAAGTCGTAGTAGTACAAACAAAGGTACGTGCACATTATTTCGATATATATCCAGCTTACTTAATAGAAGTCGATTGCATAAATTAAACAAGTCTTCAGCAAATGATAAGTTTCATTTCTATCAAGAAAGCCCAAACTCATTAAACCGCTAATCCTTTCGGGGTTCTAAATAATGGTGAATGTAAATAAATGATAAGCCTTAGCTCCTCACTTATGTAAATAGGCATATTTCATTTTGAGACTGACAGCAATCCTATTCACCGCTAAATTATCTGAATTCAAGAAAAATGCTGGATGTTTACAGTTGTGATCAATATACCACAGCTCAGACGTTATCACGCGTATTCTCGATGAGCTTCAGTGAAACTGTGGAGGGTCTAACACAGTCAATAGTGAGATGGTTAATGGAGTATCTCATGCTGATATTCCATGGGTCCTCCAGTTTCGCTAAAGCCTGCCGTGTGATGCGCGCGATAGCGGGCGGAAGCAAAACTGGTATATATAATTGAACATTTTCAGAAAAGGCCATACCTATGCGGCGAAATGGATGTGGAACCGTCTAATGACTGGACCAAGTTTCAACTATTCAAATTCCATATTTTCGCAAGATTCTTATTACTGCCCTTCTGTCGTGAGTTTTAGGGAAACAAATTAGCTAAATGATTGGAACAGTGAAAGTTGTAAGTATAGGGTTGTCCTTATTTTCGAACCGTACAAAATCTGGAACGCTGTAGTGTCATCTCTGAGTGGGAATATCAGCAATTGCATGCAACAACACGGCTTCCGGTGAACGGAACTACCAAGGTAAGACTTTTCCCATGTCGTCACTCATGCAGATTTCTCACAAGTGATGCATGAGACTGCCACAGGCGAAAGTTTATTCGAGAGTATCCACAATAGAATGCTTTGAAATCTTTCTGGTCATGAGGTCACATCATAACTGCCGCTCCGGCCAGTTCTGCTATATGTTCAGTGTCTCCCACAAATATTGCACAACATTTTGAACTTCAATTCTTTAAGCGTTTATACACTTCGTGCATTCCACTTCGAGCCCGAGCTTTAATTCTTTACGTGCCCATACACTTTTTTCCAAGGCTGGCAACCCCTCACTTCCCATACCCCTTTGTAATACCCTTGCCAAATTTCACGCTTCACCGTTTGATCTACATCACATGGTGCAGCTAAAGCTGAGTCCGTTTCGCGTGCTACCGTGCACTGGAAAAAGATCAATGAATGAGACTTTGTTGCGACCGCTTCGTAAGTCCTACCATATTCTGTCTCGGGAAAGCACGGGATCGCGATACCTGGGTAAGCTCGAGAAAGGTGACCAGAACGCAGGAGTTTCAACACAACGCCTGTGAAGAATGGTAAGATAACAATTTCTCGGTGGTCATTACGAGCTGCACAAGTGTCACGGCTAAACCAGGCCACAGGAGCACAAAACAAAACAAAAAGGATAAACAGCTGGTGCCAAGGCCCTAAAAAAGCCATTTAGTAGGAATTAGTTAGACAAAGTTTTCTTGTGGAGCGTGCTACATTTTTCTAACTTCGATGATGCTACCAAGAGTCCTGAGGAAGCCAATGAAAGAGAAAAGGATATTCTCGAAAAGAAGTAGCCAGTCCCTATCGTGGTCTGAGCAGGGGTTTCGACTGCCGGTCGCCCACCAGCACCACTGTTTCTTGACGGAAGAGAAACTCGGTACCGAGACCTAGCCAACGAATTTTTCAGTGCACTATTTGTTACTGAGGTGGAAGAATGTTTCCGGTAGGACGTAGCTCCTGCTTAGCAGGCATAAAGTTCAAAGCTGCGTCATTCTTCTAGACCCGATTACATCCTCAAACGAATGACATCTCCTATCCCTTAAATTGGACCATCGTAAGTACGCTGTATTTAGGAGGGGGTGCAGACCCTACACAGAACTATGCTCCTGCCAAACTCCCTCCCTCTTATACAGCAAGGAGGATAATCACTCTTCGATTACATCATTGTTGTCAAAATTGTTATGGAAGTAGCGTTCTTTTTTATTTTATGTCGATAGTCTATTTTCCAGGTACCCCATCGAGTGAAAGTCCGTAATAACTTGGTTGGGATCATAGCCTTGGTAGTGCTGCTGTCTCTCATATCAGTCAGGTACGAATACCGCAACAGTATGGCACATAGCAGAAGCTGCTTGAGGCAGTCCCGATTTCGATTTTTCTAGTGTTCTCGGTACATTCTTCTATTGTCGTAGCAAACAGGCCACAATGGGACGATTTCAAATCATGCCTACCGAGGATGCAGGAGTCTCAGAACCAAAAGCATAATCGCAGCCCATCCCTCTTCAGCGAGATCCAGCACCGGATTTATATTTAATGAATGCATCGAAATTTTTCAAGATCGAGTGCTATAGTTAGGATTTTGTGTGCTTTCCTTTGTTGTTGTGCTTTAATACTTCCAAATAAAATAAAAAAAAATAAGGCCGCTAAAGCAGAAGGAGTGGTGAGCCGCAAATATGAGGCAACAAATACTAAATAACTCGCCAAGTGAGAAAAGACGTAATAACTTTAGAGTGCCGTGAATAAGACTCGTTCATTAGATGCGTGTACGAGCACGAAGGAGTGCGGCCGGGCCGGACGATTATCCATAGATTAACCAGTACATAGAATCAAAGAGATGCATTAACGCTAACCTTCCCGCGGTTGTGCTGAGGCTCTCCGCAGTTTGTTATTTTCAGGGGACGGAGTGTTCTGTAGGGCTTTCTAACCATAATACTCGATTATGGCGCATGAGTTTGGATAGGCGTGTCACTCAGAAAGAACGTCGCCCTTGATATGTTGGCGCCATTATGTGATAAGCTGCTCTCCAAATATAACATCGCGGAAGATATCAGCAAAAGCTCGTGCAATAGCTTCCCAAACACAACTCTATCAGGTGCACTACTTCCGGTGCCACAACATTCGAATATCGACTGTACACATTCGAAAGTTTCTCGTGCGGTCTATCAGTGAAAAAAACCATGTCAGAGGCAAACTCCGGGATAAAACGTAGAGTTACCTGTTCAAATATGAAGTACTGGTGCTGTGTGGATCGAAGTTAAAGAAAAAAAGCAGGAAGTACTCCGAAAAAAGTCCAGAATATTGAAATTCTTCTTCGTTAGTCGCTTGAAAGCAAGGGATGAGAGAATTACGTGTCTGGAGGCGTCTGCAGCAACTGTTGGCTCCATGCCATCAACCGTGTTTTTTTTTTGTTTTTCCTATCTCAAAAAGGTGCTAACTTAGTTGGAGGGACCACAGGCCGCGAGCGCTCTGTATTGTTCATCCTCTAAGGTTTAGTCCACCTATGGCGCGTATTTCGAAACTGCCACGTGGCGACGAAATGGTAACTGCCCCTTGGACTAAGGCTTAAAGGAGCAGACGAACAAGCGCCGCGCCGCCGCGTGGTCCCCCCGCCAACTAAGTTAGCACTCTAAAAGGACTTGATTTCACTAGAATGAATGACTATGTCCTCGATAATGGTCTTAACATAGGCTTTGATGTTGGTTTTCGCAGTTGAAATCCGCTAAATATTCCTCTACGACCTTCCAAATAACAACTTAACATCTAGTGTTCCATGTGGTTGTTTGGAAGGTCGCATGGAACAGTGGGCGGGCTCAATGGGTTGGGGCGGCGCCAATGCTCCAACCTAGGTTCCACCAGAAATCCCGAACTTGGACAAACCACCCCGCCACTTCTGCACAGTCATAGTCTGCCCTTGCGTACTGATGCGTACTAAACAGGAAAAATCGCTTTCCCGAAAAACCCAAACTTTAGCCTTTAAACCACTGTAGAACGCACTGTTTTCTTATTTTCTTTACAAACACTTACTCTTGAGATCTTACGGAGTTTCATCGCAGTTATCTTGCCCTAGCTATTAAGAAAAGTTAATCTATTGTAAATTAATGATTGTAACTGCGCCATACCTTATTCTGTGATCGCTAAATAGACAAATAAATAAATAAAACATTTTTTGAACTATCCTGAACGTAGCACATCTAATTCACAGGAATAAAATCATAACAGTTTCCAGCTAAATATTATAAATCAGACTGGTATCCCAAAATGATATCTGATGAGATGGAAAAATGGAAGAAATCTTGGCGAAACTGCTGCTCTAAGAAAAGTACAATCTTAAACGAATGACAAAGCGTATGCTGAAGCTAAAACGAACGCGTCCTTAATCTCTACAGGGTGGGGCAAAATTAAAATTACTGGTGCACCTATACGTTTTGAATTTTTTAACACTTCTTGGAGATTTTCCTGTTTCACTCGCTTGTGATATGTTGCCTGGAGGTTGCGTAATTCCTACGTACTCGAATACAAAATGGTCCGTCGTTCTGACCTACGGAGCGCGATCATCAAACTTCACAACGACGGCAAGCAAACAAGAGAAATTGTGAAGATCCTTTCCGTACCTCGAAGGACGGTTCAGAATACAGTACGACGCTATAAAGAACTGAAGACCGAAGAGGACAGGGAAGGAAGAGGACGTCCCACAACAGCTACGAGTCGGAGAAATGTGAGGCTCGTCAGAGAAAGAATTCGAAGGAACGCCAGGAGATCGATGCGCCAGATGGCGAAAGACGTTGGAGTAAGCGCGAGGTCAATGAGGAGGATTGTCAGAAGTAAGCTAAGGAAGTTCCCCTATCGCTTGCAGAAATGCCAACTCCTGACGGACATTATGAAGAAAAGGAGATTGGAGAGATGCAAGAAGTTGCTGCAGCGATTCACGGTGGCACGCGCCCGAGACATCGTTTTCAGTGATGAAAAGATTTTACTCTGAATCCAGCCTTCAACTCCCAAAATGAGAGGATTATTGCAGGATCACTTGCTGATGCTACCACCAAGGCAAGACTCCAGGAAAGAGCGAAACACCCCCAGTCCATTCTTGTTTGGGGAGGAGTCACCTCTACGGGGAAGACCCCACTTGTTTTCGTTGAAGCTGGTGTAAAAATCAACGCAGAGGTTTACAAAATATATCCTGGAGGAAGTTCTCAAGCCGTGGGCCAACTCCCATTTCGGAGAAGCCTACTGGTGCTTCCAGCAGGATTCTGCTCCAGCACACAAAGCAAAGATGGTCCAGGAGTGGTGCGCCGAGCACCTGCCCGACTTCATCAGACACGACGAATGGCCCTCCAGTTCTCCTGATCTAAACCCGATGGATTACTCTGTGTGGTCCATCTTGGAGAGCAAAGCGTGTTCTACCAGACATCCAAACTTGGACTCTCTTAAGGCGGCGCTTTCAAAATCTTGGGACGAAATCGATGACCAGTACCTGCGTGCCACATGCGAAGCATTTGTCGAACGTCTGAAGGACTGTGTGAAGGCTAAAGGAGATCATTTTGAGAAGCATTAACATTTTTTGTATTGTCATGTTTGTAGTAAATAATATTGATAATTAGAATTGATTTGTGAGAATTATTGTCAAAATGCCATTGAAAATTTAGTGAAACACCAAAGGCACAAAGCAGCCCCTACCACAAATCAAACGTCCACTGTGTCAATTTCAAAGAGGGGAGTCCTGATGTGTAATGGTCGTAGGCACCTTACACTGACAATAATTTAAAAAAATCTACAAGACTCCGAGTACTGAATGAGATGACTATCAAATGCAATGCGACTCTGACCACAGACGAAAGGTGAGGAGCGGTTTGCCTGATCTAAGTACGCCTTCGATTCGCTGAGGATTGACCGATGTATTCTTCCAACTCCGAATGAAGCCCAACGCTTTCCCATCCAAACCAATGTGCAAGAAAGTTCGACCTCTAGCATGAAATCCAGTTAAGAGTAAATTTTTCAATTTAATTTAAAAAATAAGCCTTTCTCACGCTGTCTTACATAGCGTATTGAATAAAATAAAATATGAAAAAAATAAAAAAATAATCAAATAAGTGCCTTCTTAAACTAATGACCGTGTGTGGCTTTTTTACTGGTTTCACCTTTTCACATTAAAACAAAGAAATGAGAAAACACATTAGTGCTAAACTATTTAAACTGACGTTCAAGAAATTGGGCCGAAACAAGTCATCTAGAGAAAAAGATAAAAGGACTATTCTTCAGAAGACTTACTTTCAAAAAAGTTGTAACTTTTTAGAGAAGCATGATCTCATGGTTTCTTATTAGCATTAGAGATGTGCAAGAAAATGATTCTGAAGGAAGGTCACTATTGAAATAAAGAAAAGAAAACTCGCATGTGCTTGAAATCGATCCTAAGCCAAAGAAAGGCCGCTAAGGATAATCATTTTTAAGAGTAATCTTTCAAAAAGTTTTGATATTTCACCGAAAGCACTAGTGTCGTAGTTTCCTTTGGTCTCAGCAATTTGGAAGAAATGATTCTAGATAATCATCATTCTGCTATTTTTCCGTGGTTAGAATTTCTGAAAACGGTAGGAGGTTTCTTCGATGGAGAGATGGCTGCCAAAAACCATGCAAGTTGATGAAAACATTTATCACAGATGTTTTGTTACATTCTTGCTCGAAAATATCTATCGTGGTTAACAACGACACAAAATACATGGGAGCACACAAATGTTATTGGAGGCGGTCAATTTCTTATTATAACCGAAAATAAGACATATCGTATACAGTGCTCTGTTATATATTCGTAAGGATTCGTAACGTGTGGTCCTTGATTCGCGTTTGCACAACGACTGAATGAGATCGAATGGAGATCCTTGGTGGAAATCGAGATATGAGAGTTTGCGATTAGATCAGCATAGATTTCGCATCAATTTCGAGCATATCTAAAAATAATTGAAGCTTAAACTTTGTTTTAGTTCTTCCTTTGCAATTGCGTACCATTTCCCATCGATGGTACTTGCCTGTTGTCGATGGAACGTTGTTGGGTGAACTGGAATCAGCTGATTATTGAGAATTCATGGAGCTGCTGCAACAGAATGACTCACCTTCTGGTCATAGATTTGCTCTGATTGCCTATTTGAGATGATGTACTGCTGATTGAGAGACATTGGTGGAAGAGGTGGCAGAGCATCGTCGAACAGTGGGTAGTCAGTTGGCTGTAATCGATAGTGCTAACAAGGGATACAATTGAACGAATCACAACCTTTCTTGTTGATTTGAGATTTGCAAGCTCGAAAAGAGTCGGGGAAACTGCCTACAATTCAATTGAACACAGGCATCTATACATAGTAGGGGTTGTTAGCATATTTGGTAAGCTCTAGGAATATGTCAGTGCTAATCTCGATGACTCCTACTACCCTAGAAGTCTGATAACCTTCCCTCATTAACACATCCTGAGACAGCTAATGACAAAACTTTCAAGAAATTCTGCTCCTAATTACT